ATTTTACATACTTCAAAATGTATAAACCCTCTTTTATATATAATCCCCTATTTTAAAACATTCTAGTCTCTTGTTTTTAAACATTTTAATTCACTGTTTTTACACATAAATCTCTGTTTTTACACATTCAACACCTTATTCTTATTCTTGTTGTTCAATATTGGCTTTTCTTCTTCGTATTGTTGCTACATTTCGTTGAATACTTAATCTTCTCGTTGTTATTGTTGCTGTTTACAAAATACAATGGGATATTCTTATTGTTGATACTGTTTATAAAAACTGCAACATCATACAGTTTCATTACATCACTCTACAAGTAACATATCTAAATTTATTCAAACTGCAAATGAAACTGCAAAATTACACAATTTAATCACTACTCAAAACAAATAGGTAACTTATTATAAAGTGCAAATCAAACTGTCAAATTATACAATTTCGTAACTCTTACCAACAAATAGATATAACTTCATATTAAACTGTATATAAAACTGTAAAATTATACAGTTTTGTCACTATATTACTCATACCATGCTGTCGCTTTCATTTTTTCAGAAATAGCTGTTGGAAGATATTGGAAGAAACAAACCCATATGCCCAAAAATCTAATCAGGGATTTAAGTATCTTCCCTTTTGAAAGTCCTTCTCATGTATCTATTGAAATGCCACCAACATCTCCCCCTCCACAAAAAACCCAACCACCACAACCAAAAACAACCAAACACCACAGACCCCACCAAAAAACCCACAAAACAACCACACTACCTACAAGAAAAAGCCCAAGAGCTACACCACAGACTCCACCCACACAACAAACACCAACCACACCTCCAACCACAACAAAAACAAACAAAAGGAAGTCAACAAAAAAACAAGAAGCTCCTCCAACCAAAAAAATAAAGCTTCAAGAAAGCCAATCAACTCCCAAAACAAAAACCAAGGCATCAAAAGGGAAAAAAGCAGTAGTCCCTGCAAAGAGAGTCCAACAGTTTAATTACCGTTTCAACATCGGAATAGTAATCAAACTGTTGAAGGGGGTCAAATTCACAAAAGCCCAACAGACAGAACTGGAAAAAAAACCCCTTTTTGACCCATTGTAAATGCTCTCTCCTCATCACAACTGAAGGCCTCTTGGTGCAGATGCTACAATTCCATTGTAGCAGAAATGACAACACTCTACAACAAGAGAAAAAGAGCATTTATACTTGGCAAAAAGGAAATGAAACTCAAAAACAGTGATGTCAAACTCTTTTTTGGTATCGACTGTGGAGAAGACAGCATCACCACCAAATTCTATGCAAGACCAAAGGATTTTGAGCTTGCATTTTACAAACGAAGATGCAAATCAGTAAAGAGATTGGATGGAAAGTATTTGACCAAAATGTTTCAACAAACAAAAAAAGAAAAATCAACCAATGATCGTTAAGATCTTGCAAGGGTCATCACCCTTTACTTGTGCTTTAAACTTCTCATGCCTACAACAGGCCATACACTCAGTTAGAGTTACCTCAACTATGTTGACAATCTCAACAACATCAAGAAGTACAATTGGGTTGAGGCAATAAAAGACACACTGATGAATTCAATGGCAAATGCAAACAACAACCCAAGGCATGCCACTGGATGCGTCATATTACTCTTGGTAAATACACTACTCAACTGCTTCACACAAAAATATCAAACATCCACCTATTTCTAACTATCTAACATATTTTAATTTTTTTTACAGTATTAGTATTGTGAGCACAGTAAACTCCTCTGACCATCCAACAAAGAAGGCTTCCCAAGGTTTATGAAATGGAACCTTGGCAAAATGTACTCCAAGTGGAAACAAATCAGCCTCGTTCACTTTGAAAAGGTATTCAAACTCTTCTATACTATCATAGCACAAATCTATTCAACACTCATTTCACAGTCATTATAGTAAAAGTCATGTTATGAAACTGTCAAATTTTTTAGTTTCAAACAACACATATTTAGCACTTGACTCACATTATTCACAGTACAAATCATATTATGAAACTGTAAAAGTTTGCAGTTTCAAAGCACACATTTATTTAATATCACTCATGTTATGAAACTGTAAAATTTTACAATTTAAACGCACAAATCTATTTCACATCACTCATATTATGAAACTGTAAAATTTTTCAGTTTCAAACAACATATTTCGACACTTAACCCACATTACTCACAGTACAACTCATCTTATGAAACTGACCAATTCTACAGTATTACTGATATATGTCACATTGTTCCAATGCAGGTTGACCAAGGTGCTTTAACCCCAACTGAACAAGAAATACAGTTATTGCATATCAATTAAAGCACATCAACAGACTCTTCAGCAAAAAACATGACCACAAAAAGGACAATAAGCGAAAAAAACAAATAAAAGCAACAAAAAAAAAGACTTCTAGAGAGTGATGAGGATGACTTTCTTGAAGAAGAACATCAATTAGAATCAGAATCAGAACAAGAAGAACAACAACAACAACAACAAAAAAAAAGCAAAAACCACAAGAAAAACCAGAAAGTGATGAACAAGAAGAAGAGAGTGATGATGAAAAAAAACGAGTGACTAATGAAGAAAAATCTAATGATGAAGAAGAAGACAATGAACAAGACAATGATGAAGCAGAAGAAAGAGAAGAAGCAAAAGATGATCAACAAGCAGACACTGATGAAGAAGAAGACCAACAACAAGAATAAGAAGAACAACAAACAAACCAACAACAAAAAGTCAATGAATAAGAGCTGATAGACCAACAACAACAACATGAAAAAAGAGAACAAACAAAACAGCAAGAAGAACAAAGGACAGAACAACAAGAAGAACTCCAAGAGAAATCTGACGTATTTCATGCACAAGGTAAACTCTTGTCTAATACTGAAGCAAACTGCAAAATTTAATTAAACTAACCAAAACACAATCCAACATTTTTATAGGTCATGACCAAGCACAAACATCAATCAAAGAGGACGACAAGGACAAGCTCATATTAGCCATGAGAACAAAAATGCAAGAAATGGAACAAAAATTCATGGCTGAATTGCGTAAAAAAGAAGATCGATTGAAGCAAATGTCCGCCAAAAAAACCGGCAGTTCCCAACAAAGATTAATGGTCAAGAGAATCAAACAAAAGTCAAGAAAACAAGCACATGACCCAGATTTTGAATACCAACCAATGACAAAAGCCAAAGAAGATACAAGGAACAAGACACAAACTGCTGCTGATGTACCCAAACCAACAGAAGGTACCGATGAAGAAAAAGAGAAGAAGAATGAAAAGAAAAAACAAGAAATCGAAATGGAGACAGAACCTGCTATTGAACCCGAGCAAAAAGAGGGTGCTCATGAAGCAAAACAACAGCAGAAAGAAAAGATGCAAGAAGATATTGGCCAAGAGAAAGAAGTTGCTGCTGAAACCAACTCAAAAGAGGATGCCAATCAAGAGAAGACATAACTTCAAGTATTGGAAAATGATGATGATTTCAAGGAAAAATCAATCCAAAACAAGCCACTCGCCATTTTATGCCGCAAAACAAACAAGGTTTGGCATAGCCTATCCAAAAAAGATCAAGACCAAATTCAACTCATCTACAACACACAATCAAGTGCTTGTGTCTGGTCTGGCAGCGAAGATGAAAATTGCGTATACTTTTCAGATATATGCAGATTGACTAACAGGGAACCCTTATATGGGAATATATGTCTCAAACTGCACAATTTTACAGTTTATGTTCATATTCAATAACCTATTCCACAAACCTAACACATTCTCATATATAACATGTTTCAGGTCATTGATGGCTTCTCAAAAATGAAATTGGCACTCCAACCATCCATTGAAGAATTTGAGAAAAATGATCTACCCTTTGCAAGAAATTCATATGCGGGAAGATCTTACGTTTTCTCAACACTCATCAATGTAAGCAAAACTTAACATACCTTTCAATATTATTCAAACTGCAAAATTTTCTACTTTCTTAACATGTCTTACTACATAGTTTTATAACATATTTCAAACATATATATAAATTACAAACTCCACTACAAAACCAAGATCAAGCACTGAGAGAAAAAATCATGGACAACCATTTTCCAGAAGCAATGAAAAACAGATATATCCATTTTCCAATCAACCACAACAACCATTGGACAATTGTTGTCTTTGACAATGCTGATGGGATATGGAGGCACTATGACTCTTTGAGACCAACAAAAGATTGTCACAACAAGCGCTTTGAAATTGCAAAGGAAATTGTAAGTTAAATAAAATTTCTTACTTAGTTCCATTCCTTTCAAAACATCTCAACTCATCACTATAACTAACAAAAACACCCACTAACTATTTTGTAGCAACAACATCAACTGAGATGGAATAAAGTATTATTCAGCAATCAAGGAAACATGTTATCATCTCAAGAGTGCAAGACAGTAATTGCATCAATTGAGGAATGCCCATAACAAATCTCATACTCGTAAGATACAAAATCAATAAACTAATGTTCCAATATGCTAAATTTTGCAGTTTTACCTAACTAATTAACTTCATCTAAAACTTTGCAGGAATGATTGTGCAATCGCCATCCGCAATGTTATCAACCAATATATCAACTGGCAACCAGTGCAGAAATCACTTTGACCAACTAAGTGGGTCAAATTTCGAGCAGAAATCATTAGTTAATTCCTCAATGATGAGAACCGATCTTGGAAACTCGAGCACTACCAAATGTTGACAAAACACACCAAACCATAGAAACAATGAACAAACTTCTTGACAATACAAATATTCAAGTGAACATATTTTTGTACTTATTTATTTATTTATTTTTAACATGTGACAAGTAGTTTATATGCTTTTGGGAATGATTTTCATCTGGTTATTATGGTGAAAATGATTGTTGTCATCGATATTGTTGTTGCTCTTATTCTTGTTATTATTATTATGGTTGTTATTCTGATTATTTGTGTACTTGTTTGTGGTTGCATATATTTTCATACAGTAAATGTTGTTTCTAATAATTCTTCAAATTGCAAAACTATGCAGTTTCATCAGGTTGTTTCTAATAATTCTTAAAATTGCAAAATTATGCAATTTTATTACTTAAACAAAAATTATGCTACACAATTATGCATCCAATTTCATGACTTAACAAATAGATGAACTGCATTTCAAAATTGAAAATAAAACTGCAAAATTTTACAGTTTTGTCACTACGAAATATGAAATAAATAAATCATGTAGTAAAACTGCATTTCAATATTATATAGTTTTAATAAGAAATTTTCAACAACCTTCTCAGCATTCCATAAAATAAAACCAACCAAATCCACAAAAAAAAATAAAAAATAAAAAACAAAACAAGACTCTTACAAAACAACTTCAATAACTAAAGAACACATCAAAAAACAAAAAACAATTCAACCAACTTTATTCATTACTTCCATAATACCAAGTATCACATTTTTTATTATTATAATCCCTCAAATTCAAATACAAGAATAGGTTGTGGTCTCAAATAGCAGCCTTGCACGTTTTCTTATTGTGATTCCCATATTTCAAGTACCTCCCACACTTGATTTGCTTCACATTCTCACCCCCTAGAAGGTATCTTTTTCTTCTTGTTCTGCCCGAGCTGCTTCTTCGTTATAGGAGGTTTGATAATCGACCTACCGGCATCATCAAAGTCAAATCTCTCACTTGAAGGCACTAGATAAACAGATTCCTTGTATGACTCTCTAAAACAATCTACATGAAAAAAAGGATCAATGAAATCATACACATCTCTACCACTACTACGCAAAGCATGCATAGGATGACAACAAGGAAAACCATTCAATTGCCATTCATGGCAAGAACAAGTCTGTCTACCAATATCAACATAAAAAGAAATAGAAGAATGAACCTCAAGCACAGCATCACTAGCAACAATCACATCCCAAGACTTAGCTACCGTCAAAGAGTCCACCAACTTTTTTTCCATAACTGGACACAATTTCGTAGTCCATCTTTTAGATTCAACTCTTCTATTAGACAATTGAGTCATGATTTGAACCCTAATCATATCAACCATACAAGTAATAGGCAACTCACGGGCCCCACCAATCCAATTATTGTAAGACTCGACAGCATTAGATGACATCTCACCATATCGTTTCCCTCTAAAAAATGCATTGGCCCACTTATCATTTTGCAAACCATCCAACATACTATTAACTCTACCATTCCCAGCAATACGCCTCAATTTCTCCATATAATGTTGGAAAAAAACAACCGTTGGCGCATAAGCACATTTAACTAATATTTTTATCAAACTCAGCTTATAGTTAGTACAAAGTCCCATCAATTTGTCAATCAAATTTCTCTTCAAATGATTCAAGCAATATGCATGATGTGTATTGGGAAAAACCACTGAAAGAGCGTCTAGCAATCTATGTTGACGGTCCGACACAAAGGTCAATCTCCGTCCTGAACCAACAGCCTTTAACAACTGACTTAAGAACCACATCCAATTATCTTGATTTTTAGCGTCAACAATCACAAAAGCCAAAGGAAACAGACCTACAAACAAAATAACATGAAACTACAAAAATTAGTAGACTCACAATACAATAACACACTGACAAACCAAACCTATACTAGCTGCAAATAAATACATACCTTAATTACCATCATTTGATGTTGCTGCAAGAAAATGCCCCTTTTAACGCCCCTTCAAGAATGTACCATCAACAAACAACAACGAACGACAAAATTGAAAGCCATACAAACATCCATGAAATGTCACAAACAACCTCCGAAAGCACCTACTACTTCCATCCACATCTAATTCAAACACACTTCCTGGATTCGTTCTTAGAGTTGTCTCAAGGTACCATCGAAGTTGGTCAAAAGAAGTTGCAAAATCACCAAACAACCCACCTCTTGCCTTATCAACTCCTAACCATGCAACCCGATAAGGAACATCTATACCATATTACTTTTTCAATTTTTTTTTTTAACTTCAATAGAATGAGTCAACGGATTATCACTAATATCATTATGCACAATATCAGACACAAGTCTAGAACCAACCATTTTGCTACAAGATCTACGAGCGACAACCCCACAAGTATGCGCATTATCTAACTTCATTATAAAAAAAATACCGAAATTCATCAATACCCTTCCATGCACAAACCATTTACAACCCGTAGACGACATCATCATACATTCAGCAATAACTCTTGTTGCATCGTTCTTCAAATAATTCACTGCAAAACCACACTCAACTGCATACTTAGCCAATGCAATGCGAAACGATGGCACTCCACTTTCAAATTCATGACCAACACTATGCATAATCCCCTTCTAACTAGCAGACAACAAAACTCTCTCTAGTTCTGGATAAAACTAGGCAACAAACCACCAAAATCATCACAATCATTAACCAAAGAACTCTCACAAATTACAGAATCAATCCTAGAAGAATTATCATCATCAACCTCTACAATTCTCTTATCACCCACAACAACATCAACAACATGAGAACCGCTACAACCTACCATTGACAGCATATTTCTCAAATCATCATCACATTCAACAATACAATTAGAATATCCAGGAATAGAGAAAAACAAATAAAAGTTACCAACACTCAACTCCTTGAACTTCGCAGATATTTTCTCAACAATTTCATGATAACTACATCTCTCACTAATCTTAATAGTAGCATAACAATTATTGCATTTGCACATTAACATGAAACACCCCTCCATACTACAAAATCACAAACCAACAAACAATTGTTCACAGATTCTAAACTGCAAAATTATACAGTTACAACATATCAGTACCAACACTGCACAATTCACAATTCCAAACTGTAAAATTATACAGTTACAATATATCAGTATCAAAACATCAGAATTCACAATTCCAAACTACAACTTCAAAACACATTACACTATACAACAAACAAATTCAACAAAATCAAAATCATTACACTATATCATATACAAAAATCACAAAATAGGTATCAAACAAGCAAAATTTATCACAAAATAAAGAACTAAAACAACATTGCCAAACACAAACCAGATATCACGCAAATTTGCTTATCTATATATACATACATATATGTATCGACAGATACATACGTAGATACAAACCAGATACACACACATAGATATATAAATATATGTATGTATCGACAGATACAAGCCAGATACACAGAGAGAGAGATAGAGAGAACATACGCAGAGATCGCCTATACACAGAGATTCAGATCGCACAACTAGATCCACCTCACAGCACAATGAGATCGACCACACATCATAATGAGATCGCCATAACGAAGAGAAATCGAGATCGCAGAGGCAAAGATTTGATTTTCTTTTTTGAATGGAGCAAATATTTGATTTTTCACATATATATAGATCTCAAAACAAAAGGTAATACAGTCATTTACAAAATACGAAAATAAAAAATGGGACCTTTGGGTATAAAGCTTAAAAAACTGTGGCCCTATTAATCTATTAAAAATATATTGGGATTAGAAGGGAAATAGATCATCTACATAGGACTACATAGTAATTTTCCCTTTTAAAAATAAGTCTAAATAACTTCTATTTAAAAAAGAAAATTTAATTTGATGGGTTTCGGATCCAAGAGAAATGAATGTTTGCATAAATCGATTATTTAAATTTTATCCGTCTTTTTATTATTTAATATTGAATTTATAATTTTTTTTTGGGTACCAACATTTCTAAATTGGTTGAAGGTTTGTTAACATGAACACCCCTTCAATTATTGAAACATATTACTTTGATTTTTTAAATTATGAAAACGTATAAATGGACCTTCTAAACTATTAAGAAATATCATTTTACTCTCTAAATTATAAAAGTGTACAAATGAACTCTCTAAACTATTGAGAGCCAATGGCGGTGTTTGGAAACTGGGTTTTTGGGTTTTTGGGGGTTTTTTTTTTTTTCACTACAAGACAAATGTTTTACAAAATAAAAAAAAAATAAATCCAAACAAAATATCACATCAAACCCCATAATTATATCATTTTTTCTCTCACAAACATCACATCCAACACAAAAAAAGTCAACTATCTTCCCAAACACCAAAAAAAATTTCTCCAATAATATCCTACAACTAAAAAACTTACAAAAAAATCTACTTCCCAAACACTCACATTATTTTGTTCCCTAAACTATAAAAGTGTACAAATGGATTCCATTAATTATTCAGAAGCATCACTTTTCCCTTAAATTATAAAAATATACAAATAGACCCCTAAACTATAAAAGTGTATAAATTGAACCATTCCATTATGAAAAAAATGTACAAATTAGACTTCCTAACAGAAGTGGTCAAAGTAAAACACACCAATAATTTTAGAAGTTCATTTGTTTTTATAATTTAAGAATTTAAATAATACTTCTCAATAGTTTGGGAGATACTAGTATAAATAACCCAATCTAAACTATGAATTTAAAGGAGCATTCATTACATATTTAGTATTTTATTTTGGATTATTTATACGAAGACTTCTAAATTATTAAAAAATATCATATTGACCTACTAAACTACGTAAGTTTACAAATAAACCACTTAAACTATTGAAAAGTATTATTTTGATCCTCTAAACTATAAAAGCGTACAAATAAACTCCTAAACTATCCAAAAAAAGAAAAAGAAGAAGATACGAATTAGACCCTTAAAGGAATGGGTCAAAATGAAATGTATTAATAATTTAAGAGTCTATTTATACACTTTTATAGTTTAAAAGGCAAAACAATACTTCTCAATAGTTTATGCAATCTATTTGTGTGTTTTCATAGTTTAGGATGTAAAGCAATGCTTCTCAACAATTTAAGCGGTTAATTTATACATTTCCATAATTTAAGAGTTTCAAATTGATGCATTTTAATAGAGTTTAGGGGCTTTTACATAAATAACTTAAATGGAATTTTCTAGAAAATTCTAGAAGGAACACAAGTGCAAAATCTCAACACACAGGTCAAGTTTGGCTATCCTAAATAAGTACACACTTTTTATCTTTTTATCTTTTTTTATCACATCATCTCTCTATTTTTCTGTATATCTTTTTATAAAAAGATAAAAAATACGCTTATTTAGGTCATCCCAAACAACCTCACAGTTCAGACTTGTGAAAGAGGGGAGAGAGAGAGAGAGAGAGAGAGGGGGGAGAGAGAATGGAGATGGTGACAGAGGTTTCAGCATTGACAGAGCTAGTAGTATCTCTAGAGCAAGCAACCCTAATGGCGAAACAACTCCCTAACACCACCGACCCTTCCCAAATCCTCCAAATCTACTCCTCCCTCCACTCCGCCCACCTCCACCTCTCCTCCTTCCTCTCCCAATCTCCTCCTCAACCCTCCCTTCCTCTCCCTCCTCCTCCCTCCGCCGCGGCCAACGACAACGACGAGCCGATGCAAGACGACGACGACGACGATGAAGAAATTGAAAACTCCAGCAAGACCGCAATCGACAGAGTTGAGGAGCGAATGAAGGATTGCTTCATTCAGAACAAGCGCCCGAAGAGGCCGCTCTCGCCGTCGTCGCGGCGGCGGCGGTATGGGGGAGAATCGGTGAGGGGTTCGGAGGGGTTTGAGTTTGATCCGCAGGGGACGAAGTTGAGGGCTTTGGATCTTGTTTATCAATTCCATGGTTGACAGAATAAGGAATCGGAATTTGAGTTTTTGTTGGAAATTGAAATCCAACAACAGTGATATAGATAGAGTGAGAGAGGATTTAACAAATTCCTCAAGTATTTTTGTGTTGTATAGTAAGCTATTTGACATGAGTTTTTGGGCCAATTTGGTTCATGTGTTTTGTGTTGTAATTTTTGTTTTTGTTTTTGTTTTTGTTTTGTTTTTGCATTAGGAGCAAAATGGTTGGTTTGATTGAACAACATTAGGATTAGCAGGAACATTTGCAGCTTACTAGGTTTTTATTTTTTATTTATTAGGTGATGACAATTTATAAAGTCCAAATAATTTATATACATTGATCAATCAGATCAATAAATGGACAGAGTGCCGGTCAAGTTGAGTTGATAAAATGAGTAAAGCATTTTTATTGTAATTTAACTTATTAATTTATTAATATTTTTTTCAGCAAAAATAAAAATCTAACCAAAACTTCTTTTTTTTTTAATTTTAATTTTAATCTTAAATGAAATTTAAGTATTTTATGCCTACCTAATCGATACGGTTGTGTTTGAATGACACCAACCAATCAATAAATGATAGATTTGAGTAACAATTTCAAAAGGAAGAGAAAACTATGAGTGAAATGTAAGTTAATTATTATTATTTTTTTCTATTTTTGTTTTTGTTTTTGTTTTTGTTTTTGTTATTAAACTATTTTCTAAATTCATCATTCAAATATAACATAATTGAAATTGAGTAGTTGTGCTCTTGTGTGCAATTAGTGAAAACCAAGAAGAATATTTTTAGAATTTGTTTTCTAATTATCAATTCAGAATTTGTAAGAAGTCCCATCAAACAACCGTTGCTAAACTTGTTTGGTAAATTGTTTTTGGAATTCTATACATATTTTTAAGAATAATGCTTGGGACCTCTTTTGGGGGTCACCTCCTCACCCCCCTTGCCACGTGGCGGGGAGTGATTGGAGGAGCAGGAAAAAAAAGAAAAAGAAAATGTAACCAATGAGAGAGAGAGGGGGTCAAAGGGGGTAGGAGGGAAAGGGGGATGAATCATTGTTGTATTTTTAAACAGTTCACATTTAAAAAATTATGGAAAAGTTATTTTTCAACTCAAAAAGTTTTATTCACATAAAAACAACAATCATATAAAAGTAATGGGTGTTTTTAAGCTTTTCAGTGTTACCATCTTTTGAAAACGAGAAAATTGAAAACCATGAAAACAAAAATGATACCAAATATGTTACAAATCTAAGTTGGCATAGTTATTGATCTAAAGTGATGAAACTACAAGTTTATATTCATTTACAGATACAGTATGACAAAAACATTATTGTCTGATACAACTCAATGATTAACAATGGAAGATTTGATTATTTCCAACTGAACACGGCGGTCTGAACCCAACTCGAAATGATAAGTTGTTGGAAGGATGAGAAGTTGCATCGCATAATGGTGAGACTTGAATCCAAAGAAGAAAAAAATCACAATCTCAACTTGATCACATCTGGCGTGATGCTATTGGAGGCTATATGCAAAATGCTCATTCGAAGCAGAACTATACCTTTGTGATCAAGTTGTGCAACCTCACAAAATCATCCAATGTGAGCTCCTCTGGTCTCGACTGCATCGATAATCAAGAGGAGAGGTAAAGATTAGTTGATAGATATGCTGCATATATGGAATAATCAGATATAAATTGGTCACTGAAACTTACTGTAGATGGAAGACCAACATTTCGAAGAGCGACTTCAATCTCCAGGGATGTGCAGATATGCTGGAGTGTACTCCGCAACATCTTTCGTTTACTATTGAATGCAGAATTGACCTAAATCCATTTCACAGCCAAGAGATTATTAACCAAACGACAGACTTGATGCATCATTGAATACATTATGGTATTTCACTTCTTGCTTGATGCATGGTTGGAAACATCGACAATAAAAATGTCCCAGGAGAGGCAGATGTATATAAATGTAATGAGAAAGGGCAGGTGTATCCCATTCGAAAGGGTACAAATATCTAAATGTGATGTTTTTAGATAACTTTTTCAGTCAAAAAGTAGCAGTAAAAAATTTGTATCCATTTTTTTTATGATATCATGCATTGATGGCGAATTCTTAAGAAAGCTATTTCTTCAGCGTCATATGCAAGTTGATAATATTTTTTTCTTTTAATTTTTTTGGAGAAGACAAAAAGGAGAAGAATTGTATGTCCAGGTAAATCTAAGACATCTACGAGTAATTTGGAAGCATATTGGCTATTGGTACTCAGGATAATCTTGATATAACAGAATTTTATCCAAAATTATAGCTATATACTAAGCAAAGCTTTTTGACAAATTTGTTTCTGTAAGTAAATTATGAAATACAAAAAGGAAATCAGGAATATTAACCATTGAGAAGAAGCTTTTAATGGAGGAAACTTGGGGATAGTCTGCAGCTTGCTTCAGCCTAAATGTAACAACTGCTGCATCAACCTACAACAAAAATCAGAAGAAACGATAAAGTTGAATTTTCTTTTCATCAGATAAAACATAAGCCAGAGACAAAGCGAACACATTTGGATATTCATCAGTAAAATCTGGCTATATTTGGACCCACATGCATTCCAAAAGGTATAAAAAAAAAAAATAGCATTAACTTCGGAAAAAAACGAGTTGTAAAGTTGTTAAGATATAGTCTTGTGGTTTAAATCTTGGTGCATGGCAGGGCACCATATGTAACCATCGATCAAGCTAATGGCAAAAATTTAAAATGGGATGGTTGTTCTGGTACGAGGAACGGAAATTAGAGCATGGTACACCACATGCTCTAAAATGTGGTACAATAAGGGTAGATTTTTTAATTTGACATCCAATATATTAAAACTCACTCTATCTAGATTTTAGTTTATTATATTTGATTATTTCCCTATTTAAGTAGAACTTTTAATGAAAAAAAAAATTATGGGATCACTTTGGATTACTAAATTCACCGTTTTAGAACGTGTAACATATTTCGAAATATGCATTTCAAAATGTAAATCGCTAGGGTGTTAGCGTTTTCTGGTAACGCAATGCCCCAAGTGATAAGTTTGGGAAGTACCATATAACTGTGGTATTCGTGTTAGATTCATCCACAAACTAGATCAAGATATGCATAATGTCATTCAAAAAGAATCAGATAGATGATTAAAGCAGGGGAAACATTTAGTAATTTATCATTTATCATTCTTACTGAAAGAACCTTACCTTAGCTTGCTAACTCCTAATATTTTTTTGATATGTAATTTATGGAGAATCAAACTCAAGCCTTTTTATTGGGGGAATACAACCTAAGCCGCAGGGGGTGTCCCCTAGGGAACCTTGCTAACTCTTAATATTGCAATAACAATACTACAAACTTCAGTGCCTTACAACGCGATTGCAGTTTTCTCCTAGCAAAGTCTAACCCCTGGCTAAGCATATGCCCCATTTTCCAGAATTTTCAGAGGGCAAACCTTTTTTTTTTGTTTCGGAGTTCTAATGTGTTGTTATCAGAGCATGTTCAAATGCCTAATTTTTTTTTTGTTTTTTGGGTACATCGGAAGGGAAACTACAAACAAAGGGCTAAGCCCTCTCTCTAGACATCCCTATCATGTCTGAAACTAGCAGACTTCTAATCTCAGTCAGCGGGTCATTCATCACCAGCATGTCTTCTGGTTGGTTATCTCCCATTTTAGCTAAAGCATCAGCACATAAATTCCCTTCCTTCCAGACATGTTGGACAGTGCATAATGCCTAATGAAACTGAAAACTTTTATACAAAAAAGAAAAAAAAAAAAGAAAAAAAAAAAAGAGAGAAAAAGATGCAACCATGGTTGATAGAAGAAAAGGAAGGCACAGGAAGAACATAAACTATGATTAGAACCTAGTAGCAAATACAGCGTATTCAGTTAAATATGCAATATATCAATGTTGCGCAATGCATGGAAAGCAATAATCTGAAAATAAATTTACTACTTACATTAGGTTGGGGGAAAAAATTCCATCTGGGGACTTTGAAGTTGTACTCAGGATCTGAGAAAGAAGTTGAATACATTATGCAAAGAAAATGGATTTTATCCTCTTCTTATTCTCTATTTGTTCGTAAGAATACAGTAAACACCAGAAGACAGAATCCAAATAACCCTAGAATTCAAATTTTTTTATAAAATTCCAAAGTTTTCTATAGAATAGTGGCAAAGGTGTTGGCATCTAAAAGGGATGAATGAGCTAAAGTTTTATGTCCTTACCATTTGAAAAACATGCAACAAATTAGAAAAACAATCGAAAATGTGGACATCTATTTGGAGACATCCATGAAAATTGGACCATACAGATTTAGTAATATCTAACCGAACTGTCGTACGTATATAACTAGTCATAACTACATATGCTCTTGTACATTTTGTATATGTTTCCAAACAGTATACATAAATATCTATTCTAAACCTTTGTGAGACATCATTATCAAAATTTAAAAAGTAAGTAAGAAGCATTTATCGGGCCAGGCCATCGATTGAGTCATCGGTCAGAACTAAAGGTCATTGATTGCTTATCTGAGAGAAGAAACAACTCAATATTCTCTAACTGCTCATAGAGAATTCATCATCACTGCATAAATGTCATCTAATTGTTCTTGCATTTATGGCTGCTTTCTTACTAGGACGATTTCCGTCCAGAATAAAATGAGGCAACAACCCAGTTAGAATAATAGAACTCATTAAATATTTTCAATATGAGAAGATGTGAACCCTAAAGACTAGGACTTGGTTCTCAAAAATAAAAAATAAAAAGAACCCCTTCCAGTTACAAGCTCTGGACCTATACAAAGAAGACCCAGAACCTTGACACCAGGCACAGAATTTATCAACCAAAAGGCATTAAAGTGGTCTTTCATATTGCAGATACCTGAATAAAAATTTATGAAGATATTGATGGGTCGATATTCAGATGTCCTCAAAGTTGATTCTACCCAGCGCAAAGCTGTTTCCTCCTGAAAATATCAATGAAGATAGTCTGTCAGTAGTCTAGTCAAATCATATGAATTTTGACTGATTTTCTGACATCTTAACCAAGTTTAATTCATCAATTTGTTAACATTACAGCCATTAGTCTCTCTCTCTCTCTCTCTCTCTCTCTCTTGTGGTGTGTGTGTGGTAAATATGTCCTAAATCACATCAGTAGTTGCTCCTTTCTGAAAACTCACCAGGATATCTTCCTACGGACCCAATTTAGTTTTCTCAAAACCATTCTAACTTCACGTAATGTTAGAAGAACTTTTAAATCCTTATTTTTTATTTTTATTTTTTGGGTATAAAATCCATAATTTACTATTAAAAGTAAGTCCCTTGTGTAGTTTTCATTCAAATATTCAAATATTTACAGTCTTGATGAAAGATTCAAGAAACCATACTGGCCCATGGTTGCTCATAAATTTCTGAACACTAACCAAAACCCATTAAGTGGTCAATCCTTTACTACATTTATTTTTCTCAAAACCATTCTAATTTCACATAAGAACTTTTGAATCCATTATTCACTCTTAGTAGTAAGTCTCTTATATGGTTTTCATTCAAAATTTCATGGGATTAAGGCTATCTCATTTCTTTTATAGAGAGTAGATGCACCTTCTTTTTTTCTTTTTCTTTTTCTTTTTTTCTTTTTTTCGATAAGTAGAGTGTGGGTACACCTTTTATAGTAGTGACCATCATTGAAACAAAAATGGCCCGTAGAAGGGGAAAAACAAATCACATAAAATTTTAAAAGGATATTTTAAAGAGTTTGAGCAACCACCAACTACTAGATAAGAGTGAAAACAAATGAATAGTCGTAACTTTTTACTCAATGATGAATTGAGATTCTATCAGAAAATTATAGCAGAGAGGTAGCAATTCGAACCTGGAGTAAGAGAACAACTTCAGAGAAAATGTCACCCATTGGAAGCAGCAGTTTAACTACATCTGTACTTATATTAAAAGGTATATTGGATACGACCTGAAAATAAGTCACTCAAATTAGGATATTATAATACGCTAAAGGCTAAACAGAACACATTTTGACCTAAGGCATAGCTTTTATAAAATTTGGCATCAAGATAGGATCAAAGGAGCATGCTTGATTAATAGTGTTATTGAAGGAAGGACCATTGTCTCATTATATCTAACTGCCAAAGCAAAACAAAACAAAAAATGAAAGGAAAGGAAAAAATCACACACAGACACACATCCATATCTAATTGAATGCTTAACATATTCACGAAAATGCAGAAAACATGTATGATCTACCGATTAATCATCTTGCACAACATAAGAAGGCCTATCTAGTCATGAGACGCAAATTATCTACTTTTTAAATGTGTGTTTCAGAGAGAGAGAGAGAGAGAGAGAGAGAGATTAGTGACCCGTAATCTATGAAGCATGGACACTCCAAAATCGGTGCCGTGGTGGTGTCCGACAAGCGGACACGCCAGGGACATGGAGACATGCCGGGAATACGTACAGGACATACCAGATGGCGTGTTCCCTTTAATTTAATGATTTTTTTGGCGGGGACACGTGTGTCCATATCGGGACACGGCATGGGACACGGCGGGGCTCACTTTTTTTTCTTTCTTTCCCCCCCCCCTGCTTTTGCCTCTCTTATTTAGTGCTTTTGTGAAGAATATTGTTGGATGTTGAATATTTTCCCCTTCTCGTCTTAGTTCTTGTTATCGTTTATTATAACTTTTTGTGAATGGATGATCTATTAATTTATTTAAATGTAGTGGTTATATTTATTGAATTAATGTTACTATGTTAGCGTTTGTTAATTTTGATTTAGGATGAATGTAATATGAATCTACGTAACACATGAAAATATATATAAAAAAAAAAAAAAAAAATTAGCCGTGTCTCCCACCGTGTCCATGTCCCCATTTTTTGGAAATTGTTGTGTCTCGTGTCCGTGTTCGTGCTTCATAGCCTGTAATGAATCAGTTATGATATCACCAGAAAATTCTAAAGACGCAAAGAGTGCAATATTGCATGCCATTGGCTCAGACAACTTAAATCTTATGAACAAACTAAACGTGAGCATTGTTCGAAATAATTTTACAACACCAGAAATTAGAAAACTCTAGTCACAAAAAATCCTAAAGCTAGAAAAAAGTATGAATTCTTATTCTAAGCCAAATGGATGATAATTAACAAAATGAAATATTGGGGCCACAGAGTGTACATCACTTCCAATTTGAGCATAAAGGAATAAACCTCCCAACACTTCAACTCATTCATATAACTAATATTTTTAGAGAGTTTGTCTAAAGAAAAAGAAAACATTTACCTTTCAAGGAGAAAGTACGTACGGACTAAAGAGTAAAACAAATTTTCATTATTCCAAGCTCAAAAAAATGCTTTTGTCACCATATATATATATATAAAATAAAAAGTAAAAAAAAAAAAAATGCACAAAAAAGACAAATACTTACATGAATGTGTGTGTCCAATATAAATATATGATTCATGCCATGCTCATGTTAGGTCTGCACAAATATATGACACATGCACCAATCACCACATGTTTGTACATACTAGATCCCGTTCTAGTGACAAGGATTGCTTCAAAGAGTAAGTGGTACATTTAACTGATTTAAGATGATGACAGTGCAGTAAAACTGCAATAGATAGTATATATACATGAGATAGAGATCTCACTTTGGCATATTTATCAAAAAAAAAAAAAGAAAGAGATCTCACTTTGGCATGTTGTGATTCTCCATCCAATGACTTTTTACATTCCAACAACGAGACCAAATGGGAGCGAATGTGACATTTTGTGAAATCCTCTTGCAAAACCTGCAGGATTTGGTAAAGATGTCAAGACATTATTCACCAGGCATTTGGCTGTAAGAACTACAAGAACAGTTGCAATACGCACACGTGAGCACACGCATACCACATGCATTGATGCTTCATGCTTGTGAGATAATGCTCAAAGTGAAAACACCACCAAGTACTAGAATCAATTTACATCAAGGAAAATGAAGCAGTGCCAAGTACTAGAATCAATTTACATTAAAGAAACAAAAGATCATGGCCAGACCAAGGACAGAAAGAAACAAGAAGATAAGTAATAAAATGCTCTAGACACAACACAAATTTTTCTGAGAAAATTTCTACAATAATACAAGGTAGCTTGAGTCATTACGCAAATGAGGCTTACAGTTAGATAATTGATAACAAATGCTTAACTTCAAAGGATCTTCTAGATGAACAATTTTGAAGCATGTGACCATTTTACTCCAGGTTCATCCACTCACGCTTCCACTATAGTCTTCATTCACACACTCACTACATTTATAGGTTCTAGAAGTATGCAATTCATGCAGCAGCCAATAAATCATCAAATTGAAACACCATCACTTCAATACTTTAAATGCATTTAATCATTTTGATATTAGTAGTTCATATGTTTATTAGCCTTCCTCAAGTGTCACATCACAGATTATTAAAGCATGACTGTATTATCTCACAGCGTTGCCATTGTGAAGTTCTCATTGTTTTTTTGGGTAAGTAAAAGTTCTCATTGTTGATCCATAATAACTCAAAATATTTTGTGCAACTTATGTAATGACTCATTAAGACCACTGCCTCATTAATTTAGTGACATGAATTGAAACACATAGATTTTGTACCATGTAATCAATTCTAACAATCAAGATGAGGAGGTTCTAACCTTCAAAAGTTAAGTCTTCAGTGAGCATTCTGGATATTATTTTCTTGCATTTGAGAGAAAATATAAAATCGATTTTGAACTGCTATTTCCTTTTGTAAAGCATTTTTTTTCTCTCTCTATAGAATGCAAGGAAAGTAATTCCAAGGTCAAAACTGGATGACACCTTAAAAGTTTCAATTTTCAAACAGAGATGCTTCAGTTATAGTACTCAAAGGGAACTTCAAATAAAAGAGAATAAACAAACTACTCAAGATGTACAAATAATGTTTATAAACACAATTCATTACCAAAAGTATAGCTTACCTTCACCTGGTCTATACTAGCAAATCGTTCTCTCACAAGTGCAGCCATGTGTGCATCCTAAAGCTCATAGAAAATGCACAACATAAGTCCATATTAAGTAAACAGATAAGATGACAATAATAGACAGAGTTACAGTCATAGAGATAAACATAATGAAGCCTCAATGCTGTAGAAATTTTGGTTTTACATTTCAGCACTTCTTACATACTGACAGCGTGGGTCCCACTCAACATGTGAAAAAGTAGTAGTTCAATGTGTAAACATATAGGTGTCTATAGCTTTTCCATTTTAGATACAAACAACTTCAAAATGCCATCTTATACAAAGAGAGTCGAAACTCAGGGATTGAGCACTGATATTGGAGATAAAGAAACCAATTGCACAGTTGAGATTTTGAAACTTCAGTTGGGTACCAATGCATAGATATTTAAGGAACAAAACTAAAACCAATTATTCCATGTATGGGAACTGTCTGATAAATTGTCCAAATGAAATGAGAAATGTAATGCACCCCACACCATGATACTACCTTTTCGATCCCAAGAACTGTGGCACCGGCATTTACAAGAACACTAGTCAAAGAACCAGTTCCTGGTCCAATCTCAAGCACCACATCACCTTCCTTAACATCAGCCACATCCACAAGTTGCTCATTAACAGAAGAATTCAACATGTAATGCTGATTAAAATCAAAACAACACCTAGTCAGTGTTCCATAAAATGTCCCAAAGTGCCACTCTATATAACTAGGGAAAATTATACTTATGGTCTTGTAATTTGTCTCTTATGCTTATTTTTAGTCATTGTAGTTTCAAATTTCAATTATATCAATTCCACCCTTTAATTATTTATTTATTTATTTATTTTTATTTTTGTGTGTGTGCATATAGTGTCAACTTAGACCAATTGAAAACATACTAGAAGGAAATCAAAACAGTCACAAAAACGCCTAGTCAGTGTTCGATAAAAAGCCCCAGAGAGCCACTCTACATATAGGGCAAATTATACCCGTGGTCCTGCAATTTGTCTCTTATGTCAATTTTTCCTGTATAATTTCAATTCTATCAATTTTTGCATGGTTTCAACTTAGTCCAATTGATAACTCTATTAAGAAATTAGACAAAAATCATAGGCAAAATGATGAATTCAAAAGGGAATGAAAAATTTCAAAATGCACTCAACCCCTCAATCATTTTGAAGAAAGTAAAAGGAATATTTGCATCTTGATTTAAGTCTAATTTTTAAACAAGTGTTATCAATTGCACTAAATTGACACAATTTTGAAAAATTTAAACCCAATTAACACAAACTATAGGATTAAGAGCAGTAATTTGAGCATGTATGTATGTAAATATAAATATACCTGGCCGAGGGATTTGCGAGGGAAGCGGCCTTTGGAGTTGAGAGCACGGAGGGTGGAGTGGTAATCGTCTTCGTTTATGGTTTTGGTGCTCGCTGCCACTACTACTAGTTGGGTGGTGGTGGTGGTGGTGGTGATGCTATTGTGCGCTGGGGGTGAAGAAGGTCGTGATCTGGTTCTGGAATAATAATGGGTGAAGGAGAGGTTTGGCGGGAGAGATTGCAGGAGCCAAGGCATTTTGTTTTGTCGTTGTAAGATAACGGTCCAGTTCCGGTCCCAAATGGGGTTCTCTCACCTCTCAATCTACTTGTTTGCAAAATGTAGATAATTTTTTTTTTGTTTATTGCTATTAAAATAGCTTAATAAATCAAGGAGTTTGGTTGAAATTGAAGTCGATTTAAACTGTCTTTGTTGAAAGATTTGATGAAAAAAATAAAAAGAAAAAAGAAAACAGTCTTATTTTTTGTTCGGTTGTAATGAAAAATACTAGGAAAGAGAAAATGAAAGGAAAATGTAAACTTACTTTTTATTTTTTGTGTTTATTTAGATTATTTTCTTTCTCAATTTCTTAACTTAACTAAGGGTTCATTTGTGATGTGAATTGGCTCGATGATTTTTTTGTTTTTTAGTTATTTAGCATATGACTAAAAAGTCTCGTTTCGTCTTATATAAGTTTTTTTACTTTTCTAATTTTTGTGAGAGAAAAAAATAAAATTATTATAATTTGATGTGACATTTTATCTTATATGATTAAAATAACCTATTTTGTCATATATGGTTATTTTAGCCTAAACTAGTATCCCAAACAGGGGTTAAATATAATTTAAAATTCGAATCCCATCAACTCTTATTTCTTTTCTTCTATTCCCCTTTCCCTTTTATTTTTCATTTTTCATATCAAATCCTTTAACCAAACACAACAATAGAGCAATTTGAAAATAATTTGGAATTACATGATACTATTGGTTGGTAAGGAAATAAGTTATTTTAGTAATTTTTTGATTAAAATATAAAGTGAAAAAATTAATATGGTTGAGATCATTTTTTTATTCTTTTTAATGAAAAAAAGCATATAAAAGATAAAGAAAAAACAGAATTTTTGATTGTTTAATTATTTGACATTTTAATTTTTTTTTAATGACTTTTTGTTTATTATTGTAACTTCTCAAAGCTGGCCTATGTATTATTTTAGCAATTGAATCGAGATGTTTACCAGCTCAATTCGGTTTATTAGGTAAATAAATAAATTTGAACTTAAATAAATTTAACTTATTTCTAAATAACTTATCGTCAAGTTTCGAATTCAGTTTGAACTTGATTAATAACAATGGATCGAGTTAAACTTGAGTTAGATTTTCAAATTTAATAAATAAAACTCCGATCAATTTGGTTCATTTATAATCCTAGAAAAGCCTAATAAGTAGTCTTTTGCAAGATCCATAATTGGGATCCTCATTACTGGACAGTGAAATTGATCTCCTAAATTAGTTTGTCTATTGTGTCGGATACCGAATTATTAAAAAATTAAATAAAAAATCTATTTAGGTATAACATTACTCGTATAATAAATGGAAAGTATCAAAAAATAGAAAAAGAAATGGGAAGTAGAAAAAATAATTATAAATTCATGAAAGTACAACACTCATTTACATAATTTAATGCATAAATCACTTGTATTTTCATGAGTTTGCAAATATTTTCTCATTTTCAAATTAATGAGTGTGTTTGGTTTGAATTTTCTAAATTAAATTTTTTTAAAACTGAATTTTTTGGTTTTTGTGTTTTTTTGTTTTTAATGAATATTTTTAAAATTTTAAACATTTTTTTTTACTTTTTTAAATGCACCTTACTTAGATGTATCTAAAAAGTAAATAATTTGTGAAAAAATATTTTAAAAATTAATAAATATATAAAAATACAAAAAATGTACTAAATTATTGTAAATTTTTTTTTAATATTTTTGATATTTAGTGAATTTTTAAAAGATTTTTTTCACAATTTTTTTACTTTTTAGATATATTTATGTTAGGCATGTCTGAAATTTTTTAAAAAATTACTTAAAATATTAAAAAAATTCAATAAAAATAAACAACTACGAAAAATAATAAAATAATTTTTTTTGAAAAACTCTGACCAAACAAAGTGTTTTCTTTATATTTTCCCTATGACAAGCTCATGGGTCCATTATGGGCTTCATGACTTCAACTCATGTATCCTACTCACAACAAACTCTACGGATTAGCCCATAAAGCCCATTTAAATATGGGCTTTCAAAAACACTACCGGCCCATCCAACAGAGCGACTAACGGTACAAAATCTGAGCTCTCTCACTCTCTCTCTCTTCTCCACTTTCACTCTACTGCAAATCCATTGAAAACGGGTGATTGAACACGACCTCCATTGAAATTCCTAGAAAAAACCCTCTTCGTTCTTTCGAAAATCAAAGTCAAACAACAATGGGAGTGGGAGGGCACTTCTGGGATTTGCTCAAACCCTATTCTCGAACCGAAGGCTTCGATTTCCTCCGCAACAAACGTGTCGCTGTCGATCTTTCCTTTTGGATTGTTCAGCATGAAACCGCAATCAGAGCCTATACTCGAAACCCCCACCTCCGACTCACCTTTTTCCGTACCATCAATCTCTTTTCCAAGGTACCCATCACCCTTTTCTATCTTCACCCTTTGTTTGGCTTCCGAGAAATCAACGGAAAATGTGTGGGTTTTACGTGTTCTGTTGTTTTTTTGGTTGCAAAACCTGCAAATTTGGGGCTTTCCCAGATTTTGTGGTTGATGATTTTTGTGGGTTTTACATATTCAGTTGTTTTCTGGACTATATTTGATGGATAATGTGTTCTATGATGATTTGTTTGCAGTTTGGGGCGCTCCCAGTTTTTGTGGTTGATGGAACGCCGTCGCCGTTGAAGTCTCAGGCTAGGATTTTGCGGTTCTTTCGGGCATCTGGCATGGATTTATCGAATTTGCCGGTGGCAGAGGAGGGGGTTTCGGTGGAAAGGAATGGGGCGTTTACGAAATGCGTTCAAGAGTGTGTGGTGAGTTGAATTTTTTAGCTTCTATTTTAGTATAAATCTATTAATGTGGTTCAAATTTGGGTTTGTAATGGCATTTGGTTTCAGTTTTCTCTGAAAATTGAGTTTTTTTTGGTTTTTCGTGTTTTTTTTTAATAAATATTTTTAAAATCTAAGTATTTTTTTAAAAACTTTTTTAGATGTACTTAGATGTATTAAAAAAAGTAAAATATTTGTAAAAAAATATTTCAAAAAATTAATGAACACATAAAAATACGAAAAATATACTGAATTTTTTTTCTTTGTATTTTTGGTATTTAGTGAATTTTTTTAAGTTTTTTTTCACGAAAATTATATTTTTAAGTGTGTTTATGTTAGGTGTATCTAAAAATTAAAACAATTGCTTAAAATATTAAAAAAATTTAGTAAAAACAAAAAAAAAACGAAAACAAGAAAGTAGAATTTCTGAAAAGGGTTTTAGAAAACTCAAACCAAACAATTCATTCAATCTACAGTGTTTTTGTGCTTAATCTTTGTTCTTGTTGATCATTCTTTTATCTGTGGATAATGGTTTGATGGCCTTCCATATTGTGCATAATGTGATTTTATGAATTGCAAAGCAGACTGAAAATACTGGTACAAATGTCCAGATGTACATGAGAAGAGTATTTGATTGCCAACTGTTAAATGAATTGTTTGTGGGAGTTGGGACCAAGGTTAAGGTATGTATTAAGTGTCAGGAGTTGATACATCTAACCAAGATCGGTGAGAAATGAAACACAAATATTTACGTGGTTCACCTTAGAATAGTGCTATGTCCACTGTTATTGTTGTTTCGCTATGTTTTGAAAAGAAATACAGAGAGATATGACACTTCAACTATAAATACATAGTATTAGGGCAATAGAGCAGAATTATGAAATATCAAAAATGCCTTTACTTCAAAATTTAGGTTGAGGGCCAAGACCCCAGAAACCCCACCTTAGGGTATGGGGGCGCGCTGCCTTTTGCCTGCAACCTAGAGGTTAGTGTTTAGTACTTATCAAGATTCACACTACCCAACAGTAAGAAGATCGAGAATGTTGTGAAGGTTTATTTGGAGTAAGTACAAAAGCTCAAACTGAAGGTGTATAGTGTTTTGGTCCAAAAAGAGGCTCAGTCATTGTTTAGATGGCAGGGAAAACCGTCTTGTGTTTTCATGTGTCATGGTGGCATTACATTTTCATAATGTTCTATACAATGCAGTGGAATGTCATTTTGTTTCTTGAAGATAAAAAAGTTACCAATCAACAATTCTTTAGGCTGTATATTTAGTTAATGTGAGTTGAGTAAAATAACTTCTTGTCAATCTCCTTGGAAGGTAGAAGGTAGATATCTTGAAATTTGCACAAATCATTTGATCAGTGCAGGAAAAATTCTTCTAATTCTACATTTGAATTCTCCCAAAAAAAAATTCGGTTCTTGCTATTGAATGCAAATAAAATTAGGGGTAATTGCACTCCGGTGGAATTTTGGGGGAAAAAAAATTACATATTCATGAAAAAGTTTATAATTTTAATTAAGTTTCTCACTGATTTGTAATTATTTTTATAAAAGTACACTGATTTGGTATTTTCCCATAAAAATCTGTTACTGGAAACAAACAACTTCACCGTGTATTCCACTGCATTTTCATCCATACCCGTGGAGCCTGGATAAGTTTATGCTAGAGAACTCTCTTTCATTCATTTGTAAACTGTCACTAAATTTTTGTATTTGTGATTTTCAGCAATGCTTATGAAATGTTATCTGATTATCAGTAATTTGTTTTCTGCTAGGAGCTGCTTGAACTTCTTGGGATGCCTGTTCTAAAAGCTAAAGGAGAAGCTGAAGCACTTTGTGCCCAGTTAAACAGCGAAGGTCACGTAGATGCTTGCATTACATCTGACAGCGATGCATTCCTCTTTGGGGCTCATTGTGTAATAAAACACATCCGACCCAACTCCAAAGTAAGTGCTAGTTCTTTGTAGGACCATTTTCCTTTAAAAAAATCCCGTGTGAATTAGTTGTTATCCTAATTCAGCTACAGTGATCTATCAACTTCTTTGTTCTTAATGCACCACATTCATGAACTGAATATGCCATTTTTCTTTTCTTTTCTTTGTTTCTTTGGGTTTGGTGGTGGCAGTTATAATTCACTGTCTCTCCTTTTTTCCCCCTTCTGTTTTATTTTTGTAATTGCTGCTCTTCCTTGAACAAAATATCAAATGTTAATGTCAGCTTAAGTTTTTTCCAACTAAACTTTTAAATTGCTATGCTTATTTATTATCTTACAAAAATGAACAAAACCATGTCATTTTTTTTATATATTATTTTTTGTCTCTCTTATATATGCTAACAAAAACTTCTTTTATTAAGAAAAAGCAAAATTTATTTGTAAAATTTCTCTTTTATTCATACAAAGTTTAAAGAGGAAAATCAATATTTAGTTTTTTGTTTTTGTTTTTTTCCCTTTTCTTTTCATTGTCTCTGTATCTGTTGGTTATAACTCAACTTAGCAAACCTCAATACTAGGGCTGCAAACGGACCATGAGCTCGAGCTCGTTTATTGAGCTCGAGCTCGGCTCAATAAGAAACTGGGTTCAAGCTCAACTCAGCTCGACTCGTTAACATTAATGAAACTCGTGTTCGGCTCGATAATTTTTTTTTTAATATTATTTATATTATTTAAATAAAAAATATTATTTATATTATTTAATGTATAAATAATATATTTATTATATAATTTAAATAAAGGTAAACGAGCCGAACTTAACAAGCCGAGCTTATGCGAGCTCAAGCTTGGCTTGTTTACTAAACGAGCCTAATAGTAGAGCTCGGCTCATTTACTAAACGAACCGAGCTGAGCCGAGCCGAACTTGTTCATGAAGTTCGATTCATTTGCAGCCCTACTCAATACCAATCACTTGGAGTTTGTTACATGGATCCATTTTCCAAGCCATGCTCTTTTTTATTTTATTTTTCCATTAATGATGTTATTAGGAACGAGTCAATGTATGGTATCTTTTCCAGTTGTCAATATCTATTACATCATGATGCCTTGTTTGAAACTTCATGAACTAGATCTGGACTTTCCTGCTTTTTACTGCAAAATGCAATTTTCTATCATTTGCAATTTGCTTTAGCAATGCATTATGTTTTTCCTTTCCTATATTCCCCTTTGGGTTGATCATTTAGATTTTTAACTGATTTTTCCATCTTGGCAAACATGAGTATCTTACTTTACACAGGAACCATTTGAATGCTACAATGTGTCAGATGTTGAATCTGGTCTTGGGTTGAAGAGAAAACACTTGATAGCCATCTCCCTTTTGGTTGGAAATGATCATGATTTAAAGGGAGTCCAAGGAATTGGGATTGATACGGCTCTTCGTTTTGTCAAATCTTTCAGTGAAGATGAGATTTTGACTAGGTTTGATTTTCTGAACTAGTCAAGTGATCGTTTCCTCGTCATATTATCAAAAGACTAGTGTTTACTGGGCTAACAATTTTACCTTGTCAATGGTATGGAATGATCATGTAGGTTAAGTGAAATAGGCAAAGGAGAGACATTGCAGTTCCAGGGTGGCATGAGATATATTGGTGATTCATTGCTAAATTTGGATGAGAACTCACCAAAGAAAAAATGTCCTCATTGTTCCTTCTGTGGGCATCCTGGCAGCAAGAGAGCTCATCTCAAGTTGCCTTGTGAATATTGCAGTTCTAGTACCAGCGCGGGTTGCGTGCAAAAACCTATGGGGTTCAAATGTAATTGCACTTCATGTGATTTGGTACATCTTTACACAGTGCTCTCAACTTCTTATCATTTATTGTATGTTGGTATAAGTTGGTATGGTTTAGAGAGCATTGGTGTTATCCTTAATAACAAGGGCATTCATGTTGTTTGATGGCAGGATAGGAGAGACAAGGAACAGAAGAAGAATGAAAATTGGCAGATAAAAGTTTGCCAGAGAATTGCTATGGAGCCAAATTTCCCAAATGTTGAGATTGTTGAAATGTATTTGAGCAACAACCATTGTTATTTTTCTGGTGAGAAAAATCTCATTCATAAGTGGTAACAATAATTTTTATCTGTTGATGCTGTGTGTTTCAATTTAAGTATTCGATGTATTGTGGACATTTCCATGATTAGTAATCTATAAATTCTAATTCCATCTGTGTTCGTGCTTAATGTTTTATCTTTTACACAACCAGTCCCAAGCCCAGATAAGGAGTTAGGGTCGTGTGTCAAGTAGTCTGACAACCAACATGTAAAAATTTCCGTCAAATCCGTTATGAATATGAATCTAATTGAGCACATGGTCATTGACAAAGCATAATAGCGAAAAAGGATTCCAGTAGTTGACTCCACTTGATTGGGATACAAAGCTAAGGCTTAGTTTGGTTTGGTTAGTCATCTAGATATTCTGGATAGAAATGGCTAAAGTTATATCGCTCTTGCTAGGATTGTTGAATTTGTGCTACTTAATTCTTGATTGTCTTTCCTTTGATTCTCCCCCGTTTCATTTTTTCTTATCTCATGCAGTTAGATATTTTCTCTGTGGAATTAAGATTTTAATTTTTTTCATATTTTTCTCATTCCTTCTCGGAACAGTTGTCAACAATTTTCCTCAAACCTTGTTTTGTTGTTTGGTTATACATTACATTTAACCTGACCTAATAATTAAGTCAATTGATATTATACAGCAGATGATGGCCCTAATTTAACCTGGGAAAGCCCGAAAACTGAAATGCTGGTCGATTACTTGTCTTTTCATCAGCAATGGGAGCCCTCTTACATACGACAAAGAATGCTTCTGATGTTATCAACCATTTTCCTTAGAGAAATGACCTCAAATCCAAAAAATGATTTGTTATACAATCAATATGAGTTTGATTCTATAAAGCGCGTGAAGATCAGATTTGGACATCAATGGTTTGTAGTTAATTGGAAGAAAGCTGCCCCTGCAACGGAAAACACTATCTGTACAGTTCCTTCCGAGGAGTCTGATATTCAACTGGACTCTAGCGAACTTAATGAATCCACTGATCCATTGGATGATGCCCCCCAGATTTGTCTCGATGATGGCTGCTGGTTTTTGTCGACTGATGAAAATATGGAGCTGGTTGAGGCTGCTTTTCCCGAGAAAGTTCATCAATTTTTGAAAGAAAAGGTATGTGTTCTCTGGCTTTTGTTTCACAGTATGTTGGTCAGTGTAATTAGTATCTTGCACAATTCAATATTTTATAGGTAAATTGATAGTTATGACCGATACGGACATGTATCTTATGTTACATGACTACATAAACTTTCTTCAACATTTTTAAAAAAAAATAAAGACTAAAAAACATAAAAATATTATGCAAGAATAAAACATTTAAGTATTGAACAATGTATAATAATAATAAAAGTGACTAGAATTAATGATATGCATTGCAAAATGGAGATTATATCCTCAAATAAAATTTAAGAGAACTTACGTGTAGATTCTATTAAGTAAATTTATTGTCTAATATGTCATGATAATTATTGACATTTTTCATCATACATTGTTTAAAAAAATCACTAATTGTTAATTTTCAAAATTTCACTAATTATAAATTTTAGCGACAATTTTAAAAAAATGTAACAAAAAAGTATCACTAATTTTTAACTCTTAGCGACAATTGAAAAATTCGTCACAAAAAAGTTGCTAATTGTAAATTTTAGCGGCAATTTATAAGAATTGTGACAAAAAAAAGTCGCTAATTATCAATTTTTAGCAACATCTGTAAAAAATCATCAAAAAAAATTATTTTTAACTACGATTGTATTAGGACTTATTTTCCATAAGACTTGATGAAAATTAAGTCAAACTATTAGGACCTATTGGTATTTTATCTTAAAAATTATCCTAACTCTTTTTTTCATTCTTAATAGTTGTATTATATGTTTTGCACATCCTCTTAATCACTATGGAAGTTTTAATTTACAAGTTTTATGTTCCCAAATAGTTCATCCTTAGTAGAAACTTTCAAGTTTTATCTGATGTAATTGGTATAAATTAACAGTATAGATACTTACAACTACCTGTAAATATTTGTAAAAGAGTTTCACAAAATAAATTAAAAATTACCCTTTCTAATAAGAATAAGTATTACAATCTAAGTTCACTTTGTCAAATATTTTTTACTAAAATTTAAAGATGATAAAGAATCTTATGATACAAGATTCATAAAAATACAAAAATGACAACGATTTGTATCTCGATTTGACAACTATGTACGTGTTTTTTTATATAAAATTGTTAGGAACTGACAGAAATGAATTCAAGAAAAAAGAAATCTGGTTTAGATTCCAGAGGGACATCTCAGAATTCCGAATCACCGACAACGAGAGGCGTGCAGCTCAGTATTACTGAATTTTACCGTTCATCTAAAGTGAGATGCCAGGAAAAAGCCGGGGGGAATTTAGCCGAGAATCCAAAGAGCAGTATCGGTTCTTCGAAAGGAAAAAGGAAAGCGGCAAGTCCAAATCTTTCCAAGTCTGCAAGGCGTCGGCTTTTGTTCGACTAGGGCATTTTGCGTGATTGGATCCTTGCGGCTTGTAATTAAAGGTAAAGTAGAAGTTTTTGTGTAAATTTTTATTTTTGGCTGGCCTTGATTGATAATTAGCTGTAGCTGGGAATTTGTAATTGAAATATCAGGTTTACATTGGCAGTCTCTTGGGTCTTCCTCCATTTGTTAAAAAAAAACAATGGATGTCAAGTTGCATCACTGTTCATCTGTTCATCTCAAAATATGTTTTTTTTTTATCTATTAATAATTTTATTGTAGTCTCAGATATTTTTATTATGTCAACTTAATTCCTAATTTATCCAGTTTACATTTTGAGCCTATCACTTCAAATTTATAGGATTGTTAATTTTTACTTAAACTCTTACTAACAATCTTATTAAGCCTCCGTTTGGGAAGTGGGTTGGCTTTTTGACTTTTTGGCTTTTTAGCTATTTTAGCCTGGTTTGGGAAGGGCTTTTTGACTTTTTGACTTTTTTGACTTTTTTTTGTGAGAGAGGATTGTAATGATTATAGGTTGGATTTGATGTTTTGTTTTTGTGGCTAAAATAGCCTATTTTGTTTTTTGTGGCTATTTTAGCCAAAAAAGCCTGGGCTTTTTCTTGCCAAACGGAGGTTAAAAATATACATGTCTAAATATTATTGGATATTTATATACATATCATACTTTTTTATGACCTAACACAGTTGGCTTCTTATATTTTTGGTAAGATTTTTTGTAAGATTTTTAATGTGTAAAATTATTAACAAAATAGTAGTGTAGTGATGTTTTAAAAAATATAAGTCATCTTGATGGATCTTTTAATTTGTAGGGGTGAGTATGGTTCGGATTGATTCGTTTGGGGTAAAATCAAAATTAATTTGTTATTGACGGTTTTATAAAAATTAGAATCAAACCAATCCGTTTAAATCATGAAATCAATACGAACAAAATCATTTAAATACGGTTTGGATTAATTTGGAATCACGGTTTCACATAATCTCACCATTTACACAAAATATTTGTTAAAACTACTTTGAATTATAGACTTTCCTATCAAAAAATTGGAACAAAATAGTGATGTATTGAGCAAAAAAACAAAAATCTGGAAGTATAGCAAAATGAATAAATATTTTCACTGTACCTTACCAATCAAAAACTAAAGCAACAGGACTTAGCAGGAGATGTTAAAATCATGAAACTTATATCCCAAAATAAATCTTTTAAGCCACAAAAATATAGAATACATGACAAATGGTCCGGATTGGTTCTGATTTGGAATCATGAATTGAGAATTGAAACCAATCTATGAACTACGGTTCTGTTGGTAAAAAATTAGTTCAAGCCTAATCAACAATGATTTGATCGATAGACTTAAACCAATCTTTAAGTAAACACAAACAAAAATCAGACTTTGTGGTTGAGTTCTATGCCTTAAACAAATTAAGAATTTCCCTGGAGGTAATTAGGCAAAGAAAAAATAGAATAGAAAAAAAAAATATATATATATATATATGTATGTATTAATTCGAATGAATTATCACTTGTCACTAGTTACAAGAACAAAAGATTGAAGAAATACAATAATCGACAGAAGAAAATAAGAGAAATGGGGGTTGGAAAAATCTACTAGCTTAATCTACTCCTAAAATGACTAATTTAGAACTACTCTAAAAAAAACTCTTTGCGAGTGTGGTTAACGATTGATATGCCATTTTGTAACTATCAATCCATATTCTTCCTTGATCTTTACTCTATTCAACCATATCTTATATCTTCATAGAAACTATTTGCAAATTTTGTGTTTTGACTTGAAATTGATACCCCGATTTTAGCATATGATTTATAATTGATTTCCACAAATATCTTTATTGGCTTTATTTAATCTTTTCAAGCCACATCATCATCTCTTCCATGCCACGTTACTAGCATACTTGTCACGCTATGTCAGCATACCTGTCGACAGAAATAATAAAAACAAATGTGATCGAGATTATTCTTTAAAAATAGTTTATAATTTCAATCGACAGATCATAATCGAACTTGGCCATAACTTATAAGTCACAATCAACAAAAAAATAAAACGTGGTGTAAACAATGCCCCCTCATTTAAATGGATTGAAAGACAATTTATCACAATCGACAGAAATATTTTATGGTGCAAACAATGCCCCCGTCGGATTTACATCACTAGTATTTTCTAAGGCTTTATACTACTCATAAATGATGTACTCCAAGCCCTTTTGTATTTACTAAAGCAAGGCATATGCTTACACTTCAAACATTTACTCTTATTTCAAATTTTGAAACAAAAATAATAAATTGGCCTTCTGTCAATGCAAAGTATAACTAATTAGCCATTAGCTATTTAACTGGCATGTGTCGACACTAAACAATTAGCCATTTAAATTGGCCTTTCATTCAAAGTATAACCATTTGGCTGCTAGCCATTTGACAAAGAATTGGCTATTATATGGCATTTTTTTTATTCCATCAAACTTACTAGTATAAGATGTTTTTGTTAGCCAGTTCATCAAAATTAACTTTTGATGTGAACCACAAACCTATGGTGGTTGTTGGGTAGCAGAAACTGTGGAGATATATTTTCTGAGTCCCAACACGTGGCCAAGGTGACGCCGGCGTGTCAGCCGAGGTGCCACGTGTCCAGGACATGACGCCGAGGTGATCTCGGCAAGGTCGAGGTTATCTCCAAAGATATCGGAATCCAAGATAAGCGGATAAGGGACAAGAGTCCTAGAATGATAAAGGACTTTAGCATAGATAAGGATAACATTCTTAGGGAATTTATTTTTATCTATTAGAGAGTCCAGGATAAGCACTAAGCAAGAGTCCATTGAAGCTAGGCTTTTAATAGGACAAGGATTGAGTTAATTATAAAAGAGAGGCACCCCCATGGGTCTAAGGTACGCAATTTATATTCTGAATAGTGAATTTAGCACTATTGATTATCTTTGAGAGATATATTGACTTGATCGTCTGAGTGCCTCCGGGTGGACGAACCACCGCCAGAATCTTCTCTTTCTGTTGCAGGTCAACTAGATGTTATTTATTCTGCTAGTTCTCTCCAGCTGAATATTGAGTTGGGCAGTGTGATCGGAAAATCACTCATATAATTTGGCGCTGTCTGTGGGAAAGAAATGAGAATAGATGGCCAGTAACGGACAAAAGGAAAAGATTGGGAACGACACTCCTGCTAGGAGTGGGAGACCTATTGACCTTGATATCGAAGGGGACGAGTGCAACGCAGAAACTCGTGACCAGAATCACGGAGTGAAAGACGTCGGCCAAACTGGCGACGTACCAAAGAAACCAGATCGAAGTGGGTACTACAACGAGGACGACCTCCAGGTATGGAAGGATAGGTGCCTACAGAGGGACGAAGAGGTAAAAGAGATGGCAAACAAATCGACAGACCTGCAGTCGGTCGTCAATTTCATGATGCAAAATAACGTCATGCAGCCACCGTTCTCCCTATAGGACACGCTGATTCCAGCGGACAATGCACAAAAGGGAGGGAAGAAAACAATCACCGCAATCCCTCAGCACAACGGGAGCGAAAGATACTCTCATCGACCTTCTAGGGAGGTCGGACGAAGAAAGTCAAGAAGAGAAGAATCACGGAGGACGCATCGCACAAAGGAGGCAGATCCCAAAGGACATCGGAATGTTTAGGGGCAGGTGCTGTGCTTCGACACAACTCATGAAGAAGGGTCGAAGAGGACTCACCACGAAGTTAAAAGTAGTGCACCAAAAAGACTGAAAGCAAGAGATAGCCGAGCTCCTGGGCGGACAAAGAAAGACTTAAGAGATTACCTCAAGAGGAAGCAACAGAATGCCGACGCCGAGGTAACCTCCCTAGATAAGCCGAGGACACCATTCTCGGTGGAGTTGGACAGGTTTGAGGTGCCGAAGAGATTCAGTATGCCGAGATTCCAAATATACGATGGTAAGTCAGACTCCAACTTCCACGTTGGATTATACTTGAACTCAATGGCGTTTTATAGTAGGAACGAGCCGTTACTCTGTAAAGTGTTCCCCTAATCCTTCGGGGAGATTGCATCAGATTGGTTCCACAAATTACCAAAGGGAAGCGTGAAGACTTGGGAAAGCCTAGCCGAGATGTTTGTGGCCAGGTTCGTAACAAACAAACTGCAGCCATTGCGGGTGGACGCATTGATGGCATTGAAGATCAGTAAGGATGAAGGCCTTAGGGCCTACGCAAAAAGATACTATGAGGTATTCAACCGAATACCAGAGTATAATCAAGAAGTGGCGATCGTGTCTTTCAAGAACGGCCTAAAAGACAACTGTCCACTACGGAAGTCTTTGGCAAAGACATTGCCAAAAAACATGAAAGAGCTCATGGCAAGAATCGAGAAGTATGCCAGAGCCGATGAAGACATGTCGGGGACCAGGGAAACAAAGCAGGAGAAAGGAAACGGCTCGCCGAAGCGAGGTTGAGGTAACAACGGATCCAGCAAGTAGGAGACAGAACTAAGGGCTACACAAGCAGTGACAATTGTGTTCCGAATCCCAATTCACAAAGTCCTGGACCAAATTCGGAATCAACCTTATTTCAGAACACCAGTAAGGGTACCAGGAGAGTTTATGGGAAGAAATCTTGGCAGACATTGTGCTTACCACAATGAAGATGGGCACATGACTCAGGGTTGTAGAGCCCTGAAAACACACTTGGAAGACCTTGTGAGGCAAGGTCATCTGAGAGACCTTATCGATGAGGCCAGGACAAGGAAAGAACATGCAAGATTGCCTCAGGCGACAACAGCTCCACCTCCCCTAGCACAGCAACCTCAAGCAGGAGGACCTCGGGTAATTAATGTAATTCACTCGAAGGTTACTGAGAACGAAATTAGAGAGGAGACTCAGAAGGTGAAGCACTTGCAGCATGTTTACCAAGTCAGGGAGAAGAGACATCGGGTAGAGGAGTGCCAAGGACCAATAGTGTCCTTTTCTGAAGCCGACCTTGAGATAGTACAGCACCCGCATAATGATGCCTTGGTAGTATCCCTCCAAGTTGGGGAATGCCAAGTAAAACGCATCCTGATTGACCAGGGCAGCTCTTATGACATTATGTACGTCCGATGTTACAAGGAGCTTGGCTTTCACCCAGACGATATGGAGCAATCCAATAGCCCAATAATTGGGTTCAATGGAACGCCGACATGGCCACTGGGAACAACCAGCTTGGAAGTACAGGCAGGCACCAGGAAGATAACAACAGAGTTCACCGTAATTGACCCACCCTCCCCTTACAACATCATTTTGGGAAGGCCATGGTTGCATGCAAT